TTTTCATCTTCTAAAGAAAACTCACGATGTTGACTTATTCGTTTAATATCAACATTGTTGGACTGCTAAATGGCTTGCTAGAAGATTGTTGTACTGCTAACTGGCTTGCTAGAAGATTGTTGTACTGCTAACTGGCTTGCTAGAAGATTGTTGGACTGCTAACTGGCTTGCTAGAAGATTGTTGGACTGCTAAATGGCTTGCTAGAAGTTGAGTTAAAATTCGAAAGTAAGGAAGTTTTCGAATCATAAAATCAGGAGGAATGCTTGCTTATAACCTAACTATTTTTAGTAAGAATGGTCGTTTTCCAATTATAAATTTGAATTTAAAATTTAGTGAAGAAATTTCAAGGATTGGTTTAATTTAAGGCTTAAATTTAAACAAACTACTGAGGGATGTAAAGTACGATTTGAAATAGCATAAGGATTGAAAGTAAACTGCACAAGATGTCATAAAAAGTATTATTAAAATTTGTGAAAATGCCTTTCGAAATGAAATGGCTTTAAAACTGCCAAACAAAAATATCTTTAAATGATTTAAATGTTAGAATTACTTCAGCAACCAAACTCGATATTTAACATTCCTTTATAAAAAAAAAATTCAATCAATAAGTTATAACTTGACTATTTCAAACTACACTTATATGATTCATTGAAAGAAAGCTAAGATATTAGTGATGTAATATAACATAGCATTGAGAATATGCTTCAACTGAGCTTACTTCTCCTGATAATATCTCTTCCTTTCTGTTATCATTCCATTGAGAATATGCTTCAACTGAGCTTACTTCTTCTGATAATATCCCTTTCTGTTATCATTCCACTACTTTTCCTCATTCTTCTCTTCTCTTATCATCTCATTACTATCACATTTGATATTTAGTAAAATCATTACTTAATTAAGCAGCTGTAATAGTCCATCCTTCTTTCCTTTCTATACTTTACAATTCTTTTTGCATATCAAACTTGCATTGTGTCAATTTTAATTTGTTAATTGATCTGACTGAAGGGAAGAACAAATTTAAAATCTTCTGTCTTCTTCATAACAGCCTCATAAATGAAAGTTTGTTGAGGACAAAACTCCAGTCAAAACTTCTCATAAAAGGGATTATCTCACCCATTTTAAACTTCTCGCAAATGGTAACTCCTTCTTCACATTTTTTTCCGGAAAAATAAAAAAAAGACTATGGAGCAATTTCGCAAAAGCTGCTTTAACACGCAATTTTTTTACCTGAAAGCATTTTATAAATTTCAAACTATGCTACACATAAAATTAGCGCAACCTAAAATTTGCCTGATTTGTCCGATAAGATTCCGATATTTGGCCTGATTAATACCATCACCATTCTCTCTCATGACTTATCTCAATAATCGTCAAAGGATTTAGCTTGAATTAGTTTTGTATAATTTAATTGAGTAAATCAATTTAATCCAGTTCAAATCATTTAATTCAATCCATTTCTATTCAGTTCACTTTAGCATAACTATACTCAGCTGAATTCAGGTTTAAGCTTGACTTAAATCTTCGAATTTGCTACTTATAAAATTAAATAAGATTGTTAAACAATTAATTAACAAGATGAAAGTCAGTGTTAGATGTGGACATGTCTACTTGTTTACTTTATCGACGCTTATCAAATCGTTTCACTTCAATAAATTCTCAAATATTTTGTTTCCCAATCAATAAAAAAAAAAAAGAACGAGCGGAATAAATATGAGGAAGCACCAGAAGAAGACTGCTAAACGAAAAATGATAAGAGAAAAACAGGAGTTATTATCACACGGGCGACGGAAAACCGGAACAAGCAATTGAGCTGTGGAACCATATCATTTCTAGCTATCATTGTCAAACTGATTTCTATTTAATTTTTCTTCCAGTGATTACTGCATATGTCATTATTTTCTCATGTATAACAATTTTCTAACTTCCAAAAATAATTTACGAATTGGATCAGTGCCACCTCAAGTACTTCAAATGAGTTGCAATAGACTATAGGATATTGATAAAACCTTATTATCAAAGTGATAAATATCAAATGTTTCTAACTTTCTCGTTTCAGACAAATATAGAACAAGTCATTATTGAACAATGAAACAAAGGAGATTAGCATATGAGATTAGCAAGCCAATAAGTAAATGTGTAAAGAAATAAGTAACGGGGAAGCTGGTGAAAATAATTTAGGCGATTTGAGAACAAAATATCGGTCTCATTTACTACATTTCTCAAATTTCACCTTTTCTTTGTCATCATTTACGTCATCAGTGATAGCAGTAGGACATTGTCAATAATGATAATGATAATGATAGCATTCATAACAGTAATGACAACGATTGATAAGCTAATTAGGATAAAAGATTGAATGTTTACAATGATGACGATGATGTTGTTGATGATGATGAAGTTTATAATTGGAGATGATATGTTAGTAATGAAGATGTAAATAATAATTGTCAGAAAAATTAAAATTATTTCCTTCAGGAATTTTTAATCCTCTCAGGAAAAGGAAAAAGATCTTTCCAGTTTGATATTATTATATCAATTTATTTCTTTTCTCCGACTAAACTTCAAGTTTCCACTAAAATGTCATAATAAAAGTGGAAAAAATTGAAAATGTATAGAATGACTTGAGAGAGAGAGAGAGAGAGAGAGAGAGAGAGAGAGGAAGGAAGAAGTAGAGAA